ACCTGTTGATGGATTTAAAGGCGTTGCACGTGCAAGATGATAGGCAACAGAAAGGAAAGGTACGATCCGCTCACACAAACACTGCTTTTTTTCCAGTGCAAGGTGTGCAGCACTTTTAAAGTTGCTGAATTAGTGCACAGTATGGAAGTACGAGGTTCTTTCATCCATGTGTTTTCTTGAATTAAATAAGAGCTTAGATGATTAATAAATTGTTCTTCTGTTCAAGGAAAGATGATTCAGGGTATATGAACACATCAACAATGAACAGCCATGGCAATATGACCACCAGCCTAAAACAGTGTCCTTTCATCATGTTCTGAGCAGTTAATGCAATGTCATAAAACATCTGATGTCATTCTGGATAATCTTTTACCATCCAGAATTACCGTACCTGTTTTTTAAGACCTTAACAAATAATTTTCAATATTAATAATGATTCTCTTCAGACACAGATTGGTGATCAACTTTAACTTTAACTTGAGATGGAGAACAGACTTTTCAGGTTAAGCTCATTTCAAGCATAAAAAGCAATACAATCTAATAAATTAATTCTTCAGCGAAGGGAATTAAAATGGAGGGAGGTTGGCATAGCAAATATCATCACTTTATTGTATCTGTGTAAAAATCAAGCAGCAACAATTTTGTACAACTATAGACGGCAAAAAGCAGATAGAGCTATACTCACATAAAAAGAATTGTAATAGTTAAGGCAACAAAATCCCAATTAAACTGCTTCTAAATTTCTTGGTTAAAGACTTACCTGAACTCTGCCCTCTAACAGTCTAACAGTTTGTTGTTACTGTTGATCCAGCAGAATATCCCTGTGGAGTGGACCTGTGCTGCTGCAGAGCATGTGATGATCTGCAGCAGCTCCTGGTATTGCAATGACAACTCTACTAATACTGCAAGGCAGAAAAAAAGACCATATGTTGACTCATCATCTGTTGTATTTATTGACAATTTAAGAAAACACATTTAAAGCATCTGTAATTGCGCACAACACAAGGTATAGGTCTCTTCATCCCAAACATGCTTCATGGTCCCTCTGTATACGTCACCACAGTGGATTCGGTGGATGCTTCGTTCACAAGTTATAGTTACATTTCATTCATGGGTGGTCCTTTTAGGGATGTAATCCCTGACCGTGATGGTTTTAATGTCAGATTTGAGCCAGCGAATACCTGCTGAGCCATTGAATGCTACTGAGTGAGAGAGTGTTCAAACACCAACTTAAAAAAATATATATATCCCTAGAGAACAGATACATTTTCACATAAGGCCATTTGAATACGCCCACAAGTCTGAACATGCATGGCTATAGTGACTGATTAACCAAACAGTCTGCTGTCCTTTGTCTTCAATACCTCAACTAGTTTGCATATGGCTAACATTTTTAGACAAACACATGGCTTCCATTTCTTTTTAGCTCAAACGTTGTGTCTGCTATGTTTGTCATGTCTGACTGTACTTCATAAATCATTGCAGTGCTCCTGTCACATTTCCCTGGATACAGAATTCTGTCATTTTGAAATGTTCCAGCCCAAGTTGCCTACTGCTGTTTACAAGACCCAGCTGGTCCGAATGTGTCTGCATAGCTGTGTCTGAGGGAGATTTACAGACCTTGCCGTTTGATTATCCCCTTTGTAGGAGTGACTGTTCATTGTCTGTGTGTGTGCATGTGTGTTGGTGATAACATTTTGGCCTGCAGCACTTTTTTCAGTCTCCAAGACCTCTCGAGATCTCACTCTGCTCATAAGAGAGGATCTGTCAGCTCCATAAGCAGAAAGGCTCCTGAGGAGATTTGTGCTGATGGAAGGGCTCAGTTATAAGTAATAACCATTAATCTAGGCCAGGTGTGTCCTGCCAACATCTATGCTAGTTACCGTATTTTTAGTTTTTGTTGAAAGCAAGACTTTATCTCAAAACAGTATTAATGAACAATTGAAAATGCTTAATGAGACTTATGTAATATTATATATTACACCCCACCAACACGGTTACCATGCAACACTGCTGTAACTGAGACAATAATTAAACAAAACAACATGAGGGATTAGACAGATTCAAGTCCCTGCATGCAGTACCACTAGCTGTCTTGAAGGTTGGAGGAGCAGACTGTAAAACAAATGCTGAGATACTGTTGGGTGTTGAATACATTTATGGTCAACTACAACATAGTCCCATAAAAAAGTAATGTTTCCCAGGAAAAGTTTTTGTGCAAGAATTTTGGAAATATAGTTAATTTATTTAGCATGTGCTACCCTGGATGACTCTTTAGATGACTGAACTACAGATTTTGACCATAACGTTAATATACCCAACAGTAAGAGTATATCGAGGATACAAAGGCAGGGACAGATGTATACTTTTAGCAATGAGTATTCTAGCCCAATGAGCCTGTTGCTGCAGAAAAACAGCAAGTATAAACACTGGCACATGACCGAGTTAGCTGCAGATAATTACTGCTTTGACGGGGCTACTCTGACAATGTAGTGCTGCACTTTCAGTCCATACCTATCCTTACATATGCAATAGTGACTTCTGGGCAAGACAAATGTAATTGTTGACAAGTTTTAATATTAAAAGCTGGTGCCACAGCATGCTCTTGAGTATACATTTCGGCATATGCCACAAATATTACTGAGGTGTCTTCGAGCAGCAAAAGGGCTAACTGTGAGCTGCAGAGTGACAGCTCCTTGTGAAAATGTAATGCAAATATAGAAATGTAACCGTGAGACCCATGTGGACCAGCAAAACCATTAGAAAAGGCTTTTAGAAAAACAAATCACATGCATGAGCTATTTTCCAAGATTGCAACTTTATCTATGAGGGAGGTCTGATAAACTTTCTTGGACAACTATGCTTCTTTCAAACTGTTTTACGAGGTATATTGACCATGAGTTAGTTTTAATTTGAATGAGCTGATCCCCAGGTTAGGCATATCATGACGATTTGTATGTCAAGATGGCTTCCATGCAACCATATGTTGACATTTTATGACAAACATTGGTGAAATACAAGTTGAATACAAAAAGGCACCCCATGGACCATTACAAATAAAAAGTCTTTACTGTCATTTAACTTGATTCCTACAAATTAAATTATCTATTGACAGATTAATTGAAGTTGAAATTAACTTGTTTTGTGACTGTCATTTTCCCAGTCTAAAGTTGAGAAGAGTGGTCTGGGCAAATGCTATATTTTACATTGTTAATTCAGCATGAGACAGTTACACTGATTCTTAAATGAACTGGTTTAAAATCTTTGAGTTGCTGCTCAGAGACAAACAAAAAGTGGTCTGACTGCTACTTACTGTTACAATGAATGTTTGTGGTGGTGTTTTTGCCCCGCGATGTTTACAAAGGAAAAAAATCTTTCCTTCTCTTGTCGTCCTGCTCTCCATATGGCTCAGATGCACTTAAATGCCCTCCATTTCACACCATTAGGATAATCATTAATGGGACCCTTTGGTCCCATTCCGTTTAGAAGCTTCTCACACAATGACACAATTCCCTAAGGACCTACACTTAGGTGTTTTGTTGTTTGCTTGTTTATGCAAGATGCCCACTTCTGAAACATGTCTGGATTATTGGATTTTCTATTAAGTTTGTGTCAGGCACATTTCCTAGCTCATACAAGCAAGCTTTGGTCACACCGCTGCTCAAAAAACCCTCTCTCCCACCAACTCGGGTGGAAAACTATCGGCCGGTTTCTCTACTTCCATTTCTGTCAAAGACTATTGAAAGGGCAGTCTTTAAGCAGGTCACAGACTACCTTTCACAAAACAGTCTCCTTGATACAAATCAATCTGGGTTTAAAAGTGGCCACTCCACTGAAACGGCTCCGTTGTCTGTGACAGAAGCCTTAAAAGAGGCAAGAGCGACTGCCAAGTCCTCAGTACTTATCCTTCTTGACTTATCAGCCGCATTTGACACAGTCAATCATGACATCCTTCTGTCCATACTCTCGAGCATGGGCATCACAGGGAGAGCACACTCCTGGTTTGAATCGTACCTCACTGGTCGATCATTTAAAGTATCCTGGCTTGGTCACACTTCTGCAGCGCACCACCTTGCCACTGGGGTTCCTCAAGGTTTAGTACTTGGACCTCTTCTCTTTGCCATATATACCACCACTTTGGCCCAGATCATTCAACCACATGGTTTCTCATACCACTGTTATGCTGATGATACACAGCTCTATCTGTCATTCCCATCTGATGGCCACACGGTCTCAGCACGCCTGTACGGTAAAACCTTTACAAATGATCCAGAACGCGGCGGCGCATCTGGTCTTCAACCAGCCCAAAAAATCTCACGTCACCCCTCTGTTCATTGAACTCCACTGGTTACCTCTGGCTGCCCGTATCAAATTCAAGTCCCTGATGCTAGCCTACAAAGTGCTTAAGGGTACGGCTTCCATCTACTTGAATCTTTATGCAAAGGCTTATGTCCCAACTCGATCACTACGGTCATCAATAGATTGTCATCTAGCAGTGCCTTCACCACATTTAAGACAATCCAGACTGTTTGCATGTGTCATTCCAAGAAGGTGGAATGACCTACCAAGCGCTACAAGAACGGCAGCGTCCCTGTCTGTCTTCAAGAAACTCTTGAAGACCCACCTCTTCAAAGAGCATCTCCTATCCTAATCATAACCCGTACCTCTATCACCCCCACAACTCCTTCTGTAGTCCCATCTACCTCTATCTCTTGCTGTCACCACTGACTGTGATCAGGGTTTCCCCTCTGTATAGCTTATTGTTATAGTGATGATTAATGTAATATTGTGTCTACTCTGTAAGTCGCTTTGGATAAAAGCGTCTGCTAAATGCATAAGCATAAGCATAAGCATAAGTTTGAACAGTGATCTGACACAGTAATGTGAGAATATCACAGAAGCCATTAATTAAATGCAGGTGTAAAGTCAAGTCATGATGGAAACTAACTAAGAAATAAGGGGTCTTGGATAAATTCTAATTATTCTTTGCTTCTTTGCAGAATGATTTCCTTCGAAGGGGTAGCTCTCGAGGGGATGGGACAATCCCTTCCAGACCCAATCGAAAAGGCTCAGTAGGTCACGGAAGTGTCTTTGTTGTAGACGAGAACACTGAGTTGTTGGAACCTTTTTTCCAGAATGGTGGTCAAGTGAATCCTCATTTTACACCTTCCACAAATGGATTTAATGGAGGCCAGAGGGCAAAACCTGGTGTGCCAGCTAAAAATTTGGATGAGAATATTACCACAGAGAAAAAAACAGATTCCAGTGGAAGGGTTTCAACACAGGTTCCTAAAAAACCATCAGTTGATATAATTGACTTGGACATTGGACGTTCTACTAAAAACCCCTCAGTGGGGATTCCTCGTTTTCCTAAAATCCCTAATCTCAGAATATCAACAGATTCCAGCCAACCAAAAGAAGACACAGATGAAGAGACCAGGACTATTTCACCTAAACCTTCCGGGATTCCAATCACGACTCAGAGCACAACAAAGTTGGATCATGGAACCAAACATGAAGATAAAGGCAAGCAACCAGACAAAAAAGACCCTGGGATTGTTACCATAGTATCCAGAGATGGAGATCTGGTTCTGGGCTCAGATGGCAAAATGTACAGGCTACAGAAAGGTCCACCAGGACGAATGGGTCCCCCAGGACAGGAAGTAAGCATCTTTTTTCTTCAAGTGTTGTGTGTTTATGCTGTTTAATTTGTCTGCATCAGTTCAATATCAGTAAATGACAGTAAAAAAGAAGATAAATGATATGGTTTCTTTGAGATGATACTGAGAAATTAATCAGAGTGTTATACTTTTTTCTTTGCCAATTTTGGATAGCAATGAGGAAAGAATTAAGAATTAAGAGTCTGGTCAGTGTTGATGCTGTTCAACTGGCAGCTGTTGGCAGCTGTTCTTCATCAGCTGCCATCTGAGTCTTATCAGTGTTGGTGTGTGCTGCTCACATATGTTGATTCTCTTTTTTTTAAGCTTACATCTGAGAACTGCACGTATCATACCCTCCGCTGTTTGTCACAGCATTACTTAATATGACAATCTGAACTTCTGACTGGTGACCTTTTGAGAAAAAGTACAATGTGCTCATACAGTCAGGAGTATTGTTTATTGTAAATGGTGGGTCATTACAGGGACTGCGGGGCAGACAAAACCAAAAACAGACAGCACATGTGATTACATCTTAAGTCACATTGCCATAAAATCCACAAGATCACTCAGCAGGGTTACTCTGATTGGAGTCGGATGCCGGGTCCAGGAAGGAAAATGTCTCGATTAGCTTTTATTCTGTCATGTACAATAGAGGATATGAGGTTTTCAAAATGTCCTTTTCACTTTAGTTATTTATCTTAATCAATGTATACTGTACTAGTTGTAGTATAAGATATGCTTTCTTGTACTTTATACTGTACTAGTAATAGTATAAAATATGCTTTCCTGTACTTTATCCGATAAATAGCTGTGATATCAATTTCAATTAGTCTATGATATTTATCCAATTCACATAGCACAAAATCAACTTTAGTGAAAATAGTTAAGTAAAACATTTTTTTTCTTACCTAAAGCTACAATGCAATAGTTTGCGCTGGACCCATACATTCTAATTTTCAATTCTTAATTTCTTGCTTATTGATTTTAGTGTTCCAATAGAAGATTTTAAAACTTTTTTTTTTGCATGCAGAGCAAAGTCTGTCACTTCTATCCAATGGCAGTTTTTCTTCCATGCACATGTAGGAATTACTAACTGTTTAAATTAAGTTTTATCAAGTTAAGACTTTTTTTCTCAAGAAATGTAGACTATTTATAATATATAATAATATAAAAGAATAAAATGTTATGTGTGTGTAATACTTATCATCATCTATGTTGTTTTTTTTAGTTATTTTGAGTTCACCTAAATCAATTTTCCCACAGGGCTGTCCTGGTGAGCCTGGCCTTCGTGGGTTCAAAGGTGATAAGGTAATATGAGCCTTTCAATTATTCTTAAGTTACATGTATGTTTATTATGTGAACCTCTGACAAAGGAACTAAAGTGGGATTTTGTTTTAAAGTTCTTTAAAACATTTTGTGTTAAGACAATTGTTCTTACCAGTGAGGCTTGATAATGTCAGGGCCATGGCTTTGTATAAAACTGATTCTATAAAGTAATGCTAAGTATGAATTCATCTTCCTTGCTCTGCTTTCTCAATGTAAATCACCTCAGGGTAAGATTGGTTATGAAGGAAGACAAGGAAAGAGGGGGCTTCAAGGGCCTCCTGGACCACCAGGTTTACCAACCCTCTACCTGTGGAGGAACACTGCTGAAGAATGGGCAGCTTTCCAGGTATACTGTATGTCCTAATTATCGCAGTAAGAAAAGTTTTCTAACAGACATATGCATTTCTGTTACCTTCTGTTTACTTATCTGCTTCCATATATAGGATCTATGTATGTATATAAACTTGAAAAAATAATTTAAACTGTTTATTTTTATTGCACATAAAGATGAACAGATTTTGACATAGTGTTTTAAAGTGCTTAAAAAATAAAATGTAATGCTTTGTCCACATGTATCATAAGATCTCACCATCCAATATATAGGAGTTGATTGAAATAAAAGTTCTGGCAGCAAGTAAATGGTCTTTCTAAATAGGGAGAAGTTATTTTAGATGGGATTAGATATATTTGCCGAAACTAGAGCACAAGCGGCTGGATTAGGGAGGAGTGTATCTTAAAGTGAGTATTATGCTCCTAATTCAAAATCCTGGTGAGAGCGCATCTTCCTCTCTTTCTTCAGATTCATCATCATCAAGGCTTTTGAGAGGTTATCTTTTAATGTTTCTTCTAGCTTTTAGACAATGAATAATTAATCGCTAGGACAAACAGAATATATCACAAAGGTTTTCTCCAAACTTACATCTATAAATGGAAACATTTATAGACGCATGGCCTCTCCTACGAGGCCAAGGAGAGGCCACATAAAACCTCAAACCCTAGAGATTTTGTGCTCCTAAGCGTAGGCATTGTCCTCATCTGTTTAACATCTCAGGCATTGTCCTCATCTGTTTAACATCTCAGCACTGGTCAGAGCATGTACACACAAGATCGAGAACTTCAAGTGCATTATTGAACAAAGATGACTGAAAAAAGGCCAAGAGTGTTTTAGAAAGACAGTTTGTTCATATGTATGCTTTGAAGTATATGCATTCATATATAAATATATACATTCATGAATTCTTTGAATGAGCGTAGAGAATGATTTTAACTGCAAAAGTTACGGAGTTGAATGAAACAATGATTTTGACCACAATTCTTTTGTGTTATATGTTTTATTTGTTCTTTTTTTACTGAATCAGTATTTTTACCTGTGATTCTGTTTTTCTTTAAGCAAACCAACTTTTACCAGTTGCTGCAAGCTGGATGGCCTGTAAGTATGTTGTGATGGATTTTTTCCTGGGGCTCAGTTTTGTGGCTTTTTATCCTGTGAACCTAAGGCTGGTTTATTCTTTGTGAGTTTACAGAGTACAGAAGGTCCTGCAGGACCACCTGGAGAAATGGGAAGTCCTGGCCGACAGGTTAGATATTTGATATTTTATTTAGACTTTTTTATATTTATATTAAAAAAAATATTTTTATGGTTTAATTCTATAATCTTCTTGTCAGGGGCCACCTGGCGAACCTGGAGAGCGGGGAATACCTGGGATGCCTGGGGAGATGGTATGTTTTTTTTTATTTAAAACTGTCTGAATCACCTATAGTATGAAAACAAGATGTTTAAAAATGAAAAATGTATACTACAACCAAATTTACTCCATTAAATCCTACATTCATGAGCCTATTATTGTGAGATATTTTGGGGTTCTTTATTTTAGATTTAAATCTTCCCTATTTCTGAAAAATATAAGATATATAGAACTATAGAAGTTTTTTCCCAACACTCAATAATTGAGTGTTGGGGGAAAATAGTATAGTGCTAAATGCATGAACATTAAATAAACAAAGCCACAGGGCCACAGGGTTTTACTCAGTCTGTTTTTTCAACTGGTTCCTTGAGCCACAATTATATATATGTTCATTTCCTGTTGGGGAAAAAACAATTGACTGTAATTACTGGGCATGTTGATTTTAGTTACAATTGTATTTTGCTCTGGCGCTGAACAATGCTTTTCCACTTTTTTTTTATTTTTTAAAGTTTTGAATTTGAGATAGCTTTAATAAAGCCGGATGAGTAAGCTTAATGGTGGGCTTTTGGAAGTTCTCCATATTTTGCACTCCCACTGATGTAACCACTCTTTATATTAGAGAAGAAACTATGAAAGCAGCTCTAATGTCAAATTGGAAACTTTCTTACTTTTTTTACATTAATTCAATCCAACGGAAGCAGTTAAATTGAATGCTCATTGTGGCACCGGTCTAGCTCTGTCATAGTGTATGGCTGACTTTGATTAAAGTTTTGCAACTCTTGACGGGATGTGTTTTGTGGATGTAAATCTAGACATTTCACATAAAAATAAAAAAATACCTCAATGTACATAAACAGAATTTGTATGGTCTGTGGCTGCGGCTTCTATTACAGTATGTGAGGTCTGGGCTGGATGATGAGAAAGAGTTTGGTTTTGGATAGCACAACTCAGGCACAATTGGTGTGTGTTGCATTTCTAACCATGTAGAAAAATACATACCGTAGTTCCATTGTCCATATGAAAGAATTTATGTTTTGTTCTTGATAAACAGTCACGCACTGCCCACATTTTATATAAAACATGGCAGCATTACCACTCTTATTAAATTTATCACTGTGTATCAATGCCAATATGCACATTTTCCTTTCATCAGGAAGAGTTATTAAGTTTAGAAATTGTATGATTTTTTGCATGTGTCTGTGTGATAAAAAGGCTTCTTAAAGGCAGAAACGGACACAGTCTTCACAATCTCAACTTCTAATTTATTTTTCACCTTTTTCATGGGTGAATATTTTTACATTAAAATCTTACATGCTTGAGCTAATGAATATTGCTCATATCTTTGCAAAAGTACCAAAGTCACCTAAGCAGCGAGTCATTTTGACAAAATGGCTGACAACTGATAAATCTGCATAAGGATCTTTCCCAAATCTGCTGATTTGTGTGTCCAGCTCAAACGGCACAATACAACAACAAAATGTTGTTATTGAAATGTGTCAGAGAAAACCTTTTAGATGTTGGGGTGTGTAGATGCAGACTGGTAAGAATGTGTTGTTTGCTGTCAATAATGTCAGTTAATGGCGCATGAGCTTCAGTACCTGATCACGGAGCAATGAAAACTGTGTAGGCCCATTAGGAGTTTATTATTTTTTTATTAATCATGATAGAGTTGAATATTCATGCATCTGAAGTTAATAAAGTTTTTTTTAGATGTTGCCCATAAAATCAAGTCTGACTGGAGACAAAAGGTACAAAGCATATCTGTGTGAGGATCAACTGCTAACATCTGTATTTAATATAAAAGGACTCCCTCAGAGGTCATGTGGCGTCATTGCTTCAATAACTTCAGTCATTATACCAACTGAAACAGAGAGCTCCACAGCATAATATTTTTGAGCTGATCTTTATGTTGAGACAGATACATGCAATTTATCTTGAAGGGCGATCAAGGCCCCAGGGGCCCTGCAGGACAAGCTGGGACACCAGGGCAAGATGGAGAAAAGGGAGAAGATGGGCAGCCCGGATCACCTGGTGTTTCTGGTGTACAGGTGGGGATATTATGTTGTTTTAGGTGGTAGTATGGACCTTATGTTTTCCACCTGTTGGAATCTCTCCATCTTTTGTCTCTGTTACATCAGGGATTGTGGGGATACAGGGGTGAAAGAGGCCCCAAAGGAGAAAAAGGTGATGAGGTGAGAATAAAGAAAAATTGCTGCCACTTTATCTATACATGATCAAAGTTAAAAGCTCATGCTAATAATCACTTCTTCAGCCTCAATTGATCACCCACTGGAATAGCTGATTTATTCATAATTCATAATTGTTAAGTGTCAAAACTCAGCCATACAATCAAGTTAACAATTTGAAATGGCTTGAAATTGGGAAAATTATTAAACTAACAGTATTGTTTCTGAAACCCCCAAAAGTCTTGAAACACCTCAATCTCATAATTTTTTGCTTCTTTTGTTGTACCGCACCTGTAATCTTTTCAAAGTGGTCTTTGAGCAATATCAACAGCTACATATTCAGCATTAGACAACAAAAGAAGATCCTTAGACTTTTGAAATGTTTTTTCAACTCTCCAGGGTCACATAGGCCTACAGGGCCGCAAAGGAGACATTGGAAAACCTGGTGAAAAGGTAAAGTTCCTCTCCAATTTAACCAAATCTGTAGTTTCAGTAGCTCTTATCCAGTAGCTCTGTATATGATAATGTCAATCATGAAAAGTTTAATTGATTTAATTTTTCTATTCCTAAAGGGTGCAAATGGTTTTCCCGGTCCACCTGGTCCTGTTGGACTACCAGTGAGTATCTCATAACCTGTCTTAAGAGAATTTTTTTTTTTTATTATAAAATTTGATCAATTTAAAAGATTGTTTTAAAACATTTTTTAAAACAATTGATGAATTCTAACAATGAGGATAAGAGAAAATTCTGTCCATGTATGATAGAATTCATATTCATCCACTAGGTCTATCAGAATAGTTTTCAGTGCCCTTTAATGAAACGTTGCCTCTATTTTGTAATATTTTCTACAGGGGCCTCAGGGAAGCCGAGGTGGCGCTGGACCAGAAGGTCCTATTGGGCCTGATGTAAGTGTAGTGCTGTCCATATTTAGTTGAAAAAAAGTTTTCTGCAAACATTTGAATGAAAAATAGACAGTTTTCGTTTTGGTTTAGTTTGGGCTTTTTACTATTGTAAATTTGCTTTCCCGGTAATGTTAAATGATAATTGATTGGTCTGTCTTTGGCAAATGTCTTGGGGTTTTGAGTCAAACTGTTCCTTCACAGATTAATTTGTTCATTTTTGGAGTGGGGCTTTGCATATTTTGCATGTTTACTAAAATCAATCAGTAAACGTGAGTAGATTGTGAAACTTCCACGAGTGAAAAATATATTTATATTTGCTTCAGGTAATCTTTTCTTTTTAAAAGAAAACCTTACAGACCATAGGGGAACGAGACACAACACAGCAAACAATACATTTATGGAAACGGAGGATTTCTACCCAGATATGATATAAGTCGATATTACAGAGCTTAAAGTAGATTCGTTAAAACAGCTTTATGTTCCTAATTTGGCTCTCCACCACACTTGTTTCTTCCCTTCCTTCCCCAAGGTGCGCTTTTTGTTACTTTTCCTACTAAATTACAAGCACTAGTAACAAAGCCTATACCACCACCCTCTGTTTACCCTACACAATCTCTGAAAACTGGTTAATCTTAATAGTAAACAGAAACCTTATTATCTTTGGTTTTACAAATGATCTTTGATTTTCTGCAACTATTTTGATGAGGTAGTGATGTACATATCTTAAAGATAACTAGTTTTTCAAATCCATTGTATTTGAATAATACAATTGCCATTTGTCCAAAACATCAATCATACAGTTAATTTAAAACACACTCCTGATTTAAATGCTACCTGTTCAATTTAATATAAAAATCATCACACATGTTCACCCCATACTTATACCCTCTTTTCTCAAGCCTGGCTCATTAACCAGAAGTCTGGTAGCATGAAAGCTCCAAGCACAATTTCTAGAATGGTGTTTGTTGGTACTAATCTCTTATTAAATTATATAAAAAAATTAAATAAATATTAGACATACAGAGTCCAATGATTGATATACTGTATGTGTTCAACTATGACGTTTTTGCTGGGATCTATTTACACCATTTTCCCAGTTTAAAGGTCACTGCTGCCTTTAATTCCCACTTCCCATCCTCATCTTTTCAACTTCACCTTCTCAAATTTCCTCTTCTTGACGATAGTGTCATTTGACATTGCTTTATTTATCTCTTCTGCCTTCTGTGGTTTTCCAGCTGGTTCACTATAACCTACCCACAGGATTCTGCATCTGTCATTCCCCACCACTTTCAAAAGTATCTTTCAATTTTACTTTTTTACTTCCAAAATACATCTGAAACAGCACTTAAATACACTTTTGTAAACGTCTTTGAGGAGATAGACCAGCAATGTTTCGAGAAAATATACACTCTCAGTTTAAAATATATATCACATTGTTACAATCATTTCATGAGAATGTGTAAGAAAATATTAGTTATATCAGTAGGGACCATATTTCTGATGTAATCATGATGTAATGCTCACTAGCTCCCACTGCTACCAAAAGCTGCTATAAGAATTATTAACTTTTTTTAAATGACCATTGTCATCCAAATAACTCACAAATGAAGAAAACAATAACCTTATTTTTTTATTGTATTCATGAGTAAAATAAAACTATTTTGGTGTTTGTCAATGTAAAAATAGCTAACTCTTATGAATATTTCATACAATGAACCATTTTGTTTATTGTGAGAATCAATTCACAATTAATTGTCAATTGTAATGATTAATATGTTTTAAAGCAGTGTGTCAATGATACTGTTCATACCTGTCACCAGGGGGAAAGTGGACTGGATGGCCCTCCAGGTCTGTCAGGGATGCCAGTAAGCAGATAGTTTATATTATTTGACAAATAACTGTCTGTTTCTTCTAATACAAATGTCTTTGTTATATGTGTATAACTATTTCGGTTATTTCACAGGGTGCATCGGGAATGACAGGACAAGTTGGAGCTCAGGGAGTGAATGGCTCAAGGGTATTGTATCTGCTCATGTTTATTGTACTTGAGTTAGCCTGTAGGTTGACCATGTGTATTAGATATTTCAAATAGTTTACTCATTAACATTAAGCTAGTTGATCTTTTATCATTTTAGACCAAATTAACACTAAATCCTTCCAATTAATCAGAAATTAAATCAAAGAATCCGTTTTTATTATGTGTTTTTTAATGACAGCAACTATTTTAAAAGTGCAGGCTTAAACATAACACCAAATTTTATATCTTTCATCTGATCTTTTGTCTTTCTGTATATACACATGATAATCGTTTCATCTAGGGAGACATGGGTCCAGCTGGCAGTGTTGGCCCTCAAGGCCCTCAGGTATGAGCTTGCCAAGCTTGTATATATACTTTTGTTCTGAAAATGTTCGGAGATATTGTTGGACATAAGATCTAAGATCTGTCATATTCCTTTTCTTCTGACCAGGGGCTTCCAGGTTTAGAGGGACAGATGGGAATATCTGGCAGCAGAGGACCTCAAGTGAGTGTAGCTAAAGTCAAGACCATCAATGTTGTTTCGCTCGTTGAGATGTTGCTTTACTTATTCTATTATTTTTTTGGCTTTTCTGCACAGGGACATCCAGGATTGACAGGTGCACCTGGGCCAAAAGGAGATCCTGTAGGTTTAACAGAATAATTTCAAGTGATTTTTTTTTAACTCAAATATCAAACTTTTTTTAAAATCTGAAAATAAAATATAATTTCCTATTCAAAAACACAAGGAAATGTACATTACATAGTTTCTTTCACTTTTCATTCTATATTTTGATGATACTATAATTTTTTGGTGCTGATGTTTGATGATTAAAGGACATGAAGTACACAAAGTTTTCATGTGGTTTGTTTTTTTATATTTGTTGTTACGTGTTTTAAACATCAGGGCCCTGTGGGTTCTATGGGTACTCGAGGGGATCCTGGCTTTGAAGGCCTCATGGTGAGTTCCAATTGAATACCTTTTCACTAAATTACTTTTTTTTTTAATCAGGCCCCTGATGATGTTTGAATATTGACTGTTCTGTTGCTATAATATGGGTAGGGAAATTTTTCCAGCCTCACAGTGCCATCTGCTGGTTTTAGTGTCTGAGTGGACTATGACACAATCCCATTTGACACTGTTTATTACTCAATTGTCATACTTTGCTGGGACTAACACATTTAACGGATTATATAATTTGTTAGGATGCCTTTTGCTCTTAACTTCGCTTTAAAGGTATTGTATTCTTTGCTGTAATCCTCTGACTGTTTTCTATGCTGATTCATAAAGTCCTTCATTTATATTGCAATATTTTTTGTCGTTTATTTAAAACATTTCCATCTGCATTTCAAATGTGTAGTCGTTGTTTCCTAAACTCAGTTACTTGTTTGTTATATTGCTGTTTTGCAATTATATCTTTTTTTACAGGGGGCACCAGGTCAAACGGGTCCCATGGGTTTTCTAGGAGTCAGTGTAAGTGCTCATTTAGATTTGGAGGCTGTTTTTCTGTACAAATTGATTGGCTGAGTTTAATTTAACTCTTTTATTTCTAATAGGGGACCAGAGGACCAGATGGGGAAAAAGGAGATTCAGGATTTAAAGGGGAAAAAGTAGGAACTTGACACTTTTTTTTAAAACAGGAAATTCCAATATGGTTAATCAAGCCATTTTTTATATTAAGGAAGTTAATCATAGATTTGTTTATTTGTTTGCTTGTTTTTTCATTGTTATTACAAGAGCACCCCGTTGAAAGAAAGCCCAGTTATGAAGCAGCCTAGCTTTTAACTTACATTAATCCATTTTGTGTAAATTTAGCACAACTTTTATAAGGGAGTTTCCTTCAACTTTCATGTTTGAGCAATTTAAGAGAAGGTTTGGCATTTGTCCGTTTTCATGAGTAGCAGTCTGGACTTGTTGCACAAGCTATATACAGTGGACATTTTTTGCTGCAGGAAATGCACAAAATAAATTATTAAACATGTTTTACACCTTAATAATATTTATGTATTTAATATTTGTCCCTGTCCTTTAAGCTTTTGGAGTTTAGTGGATCTCTTTCTTTTATAACTGCCAGTATGTTTGTGTTTACTGAGACTTAACTTTAGTTCTGATATTATCCTAATCTAATAGCTCTATGGCAGCCATGTTTTTTTCTACTTTAATCATGTAGTCTAGAAGGCAGTTTTTACTATTTTTACTATTAAACATCTAATATGGGGGATATTAGATGTTTAATAGTAAAAACTGCCTTCTAGACTACATGATTAAAGTAGAAAAAAACTTTTTCTGGGTATTTAAATATATGTATATGAAGTAGATTGCATTCAATATAACATTTTCATGATTTTGTTATGGCTCATTATATTTACACTTTTCTCTTTTTTTTAAGTCTTAATTTTGCCCTTTAACACAATATGAAAAAATATAACAGAAAGACAATTTTAGTATTCATAATTGATTGCCCTGTGGTAAGTAAAAATTATTGTTTTGTAGTCTTCTGCCCACTGTTATCAGGTTTGCAAAACAGGGTTTTAAGCAACATTTTTACCATTAAATGATGCAAAAGGTCTCAGATGCAAAACATTTCAGAAACCTTATGTATCAAGTACGATACATATGAAATTATAAGGTTAAACTATGTGAACTCCATTTGACAAATTATGCTTCCTAACGTGTAAGTTGCTTAACGGTTCTGAATAACTTCTTTGGCTTGGAAATTAGGCTTGAGAATTTTAAAGAATTATGTAAAAAGCTTTTCTTTTTTCAGGGCTTTCATGGGGCAGCAGGCATTAGGGGACCTCAGGGAGAAAGAGGCGCAATGGGCTTCCCAGGTTTCCCAGGACTCATTGGCCAACCTGGACCTGGAGGCTCAGAGGTACCATACACTGTCTATACTAGAGTTACAGAGAAATCTTGTTGATATTCTGAGTGTTTCTGCTTCTTGTTAATTTTTACTTTATGTCCTGGCACATAAAACCATAGAGCTGAGAGGGATGTATTTTAAAAATATTACCTTGTATTTGCGGCAGTTGCAGCTATTTGTTTTTTTTATTCCAGGATGTAGAGAATGATTTGTAAGACTGAAACAAAAGATAAACGTATTGTTCACTCAGGGCATGATTGGTGAAGCTGGACCTCAAGGAAAACAGGGGAGTACTGGGTTAAAGGTAAGTGAGAGTGCATGCATTTGGATATAAATAAAAGTCAGTCTTCATTTGCAGTCCAAAATTTAAAAAAGAAAATGTATATTAAAATAAATATTGAAATTAAATGTATCCTTTGCAAGATTCTGAAAGGCATTCTAAGGCAGAACTTCTCATTCTACAGCACGCAACTAAAAGTAAATGATAAGTTATAATAACTTGTATGAATTTAGAATTGTTTGTAGCTCAAATCCTACTTATACAATATTTACGTAAATCCTTGAATATATGTTTTTGTCATTTTCACTACAGTCCTTCAATTTGAATGAGAAGAAGATATCATTTGGCATATGAAAAATGCTGCAATCAATATTTTCTTTCGTCGTGTTTATGGAAAATTCCCACATCTTTCAAAATGCTTTTCCAGAAGTATCACAAGCTTATTGATAAAAACATGTCCTTGCGTTTATTCAGTTATTGAGAAATGAGATAGCAGTTTTTAAATTTAAACGTACTTGTGTCAAGTTGCTGGAATGCCTTTTATAATAAATAATTTCATGATATACCTTTTTCACATTCTTTGTTGTCCTTCATGATACACCAGATTTTTGGGTTAGTAAAATGTCTGGACTAATTATCTTTATGTGCTTAAGATTCAAATTCTAGAAATCTGCTTTTGATACAATTCTTCAAATTAAAATTCTGCCGTCCTCTTTTTTATGCCCAGCCAATTATCCAAATAGTTGTAAGATGTTCTTGCAGCTGTTTATTTTGAGTGCCTTTGAGTTTCTTCATGCACTGATTGCAATGATGCCATCAAATTCAAGACAAACTGATGTTTCTCCTTAATTTATCAACAGTGTAAATCATTTTATTTTAAATAATTTTCTAAATAATTTCATATATTGGTGTAATGCACAGTCACTCCAAATTATCACTGTTCAAGCAACAACAGCTAATATCATAAACTTTTTGAAGGGGAACAAAGGACCAGATGGCCGCACTGGTAAACCAGGACCCAGAGGGACAAAGGTAAAACACACACAAAGTGTATATATAAAGGCACAATTTGAATTTTAGATTCGGCGTAAATTCAAATATGATATTTCATATATGTTTGCCTCCTTCTTGCATTTGTCCAGGGTATAAATGGACAAAGGGGGCACTCTGGTCAAGCAGGCCCACTGGTAAGTTTGAATTCTGTTGCCTCACAAACATACCACTGTTTGTTTAAATTAGAAAAAACTAATGTGGACACATATACAAGCCTTAGATATAGATGGTTGGAATTTGAACATTGTGCATGTGTATACAAATCTCCAATTTCCTTAATTCATTTTTATTCTTTCCATCTTAGTCACATTGTAAACTAAGGATATGATTATTATAAAGTTTATTATAATTATTGTGATTATGATCTTACATTTCTTTACCTCTCTGCACACATGTTTTTACTTTGTTTCATACTACCATATCATCTACTGCTGTTTCACAGATAAAACACGTAAAAGTAGTATTCAGATGTTTCACTCTTCGCTTTGAGAACCATTTCAATGTGTATGTATGTGTGTGATTGATTCCTTCCAGGGTTTGCCAGGATCAACTGGACCAAAGGGACCAGAAGGAAAGCCTGGTACACAGGTTCCCATTCTCTATCCTATTTCAATCCCACCAGCTGAAATATTGTGTACCTAGTCTGTGTGTGTGTGTGTGTGTGTGTGTGTGTGTATGTGTGTGTGTACTGCACTAGTGCTTGTTATAAGGTTGATTATTTTGTATGAGTACAAACTTATATCAGATTTTTTGTTTTTTGTTGGCTTTCTCTCATTAAGGAGATAGACTGGCCACTGCACATCATACATATGTATGTAAAAGCTCATTTTAAAATGTGGAATTTTTAAAGACGCCAGACACTTAAATACCCTAAACCAGTCAAAGTGACTCATAGGTCGAGTGAATATTGTGCAGACAGTATGAAGCAACTTTTGAACAATATTATACTTTAGGGATTCAGTGTTGCCAGTGGTGTGGTTGTTAGCAGTGTCACCATACAGCAAAAGGGTTCCTGGAGACATATCTGTGTGGAGTTTGCTGTCTGTCTTTTGGGTCTTCCCACTGTTGCTCCATCTCATCCACATAGTAGTGTTTTGTATCCTATACCAAAATCATGTGCAAACAAAGAACAGCTTCCACGTTTTATTCTGTTTCCAGTCAGATATATAGGTGTGTGTGTGTGTGTGTGTGTGTGTGTGTGTGTGTGTG